CATGGGCAGGGACACCTTCCACTAGACCAGGTTGCTCAAAGCCTCATCCAGCCTGGCCTTGAACACTTCCAGGGATGGGGCATCCACAGCTTCTCTGGGCAACCTGTTCCAGTGCCTCGCCACCCTCTCTGTAAAGCATTTCTTCCCGATCTCTAATCTAAACCTCCCTGATTTCAATTTGTACCCATTACCCCTTGTCCTGTCACTCCAGGCTCTTGTAAAAAGTCCTCTCCCAGCACCTTTGTAGGCCCCCTTCAGATACTGGAAAGGGTATGGCATGACGCCAGCGCTACAAGGCTAGGAGAAAGGAACTGAGGCAGCAGCCCAAAACGGAAGGAAGGAAGAATTTAGGCCACCCAGGCTCTACCTGCCACTTGACTTCCCCCCCCCGCCTTCGATAGCATCCCTGGCATCTGCAAGCTGCTGCAAGAAAAGCATCAGGAATCTCAGCAGAAAGCTCCGTCACACCTCGTCCCTGTGCAACAATCCCAATTTGCCCTTTTAACCAGTCAGCATCTACGCACATTTCAATCACTGACAGCATAAAGCTGTGCGCGGTGCTTGGGTTCGGGCTCCAAAACTCACATCCCATCTCAGCTCGTCACAGCTCAGAAAGCGTGTCCCGGTGAGCGCGGTGCCAGGTTCTCCTCAGCCCCGGCACTGCAAGGAAGAAATAGAAGGAGCTTAGGGGCCAGAAGCATGGAGGACACATTCGTTGTGTGTTTAAGCTGTGTTGCTGAAGATGTTTTGATCTGCTTTGCATGTGTGTCTGTTCTGGGTGGTTTTCCTTGTGTTTGAAAAAAAAAAATAGGCATACTTAAAGTCTACTTTACAAAACCTCAGCAAATTAACACTGATCTTTTCCAGACAATTCTTCAAATGAATGTTCTGCAAATGCCTCCTCACAGCATGCAAAGATTTAGATACGCTGGAACTGGCTCCGCAAAGGATGCTCTCTAACAACAGGAATTTAAGCACTGATAGCAGTTCAATTTGCCGCTTTTTGATTTTAATATAAAAAGAAATACTTTCTGCAAGGAAAGGTTCAGCTTTCATCACCACTACCCTAGTACAGACTTTGCAGGCTAAACCAATTCACAGATAAGCATTTTTCATAAACATGACATATTTCTTGGCTTGTAGAGGTTCTGGAGAAGGAAAGAGCAGGCTGTGCTGACACCTGCTGGCTTCCTCTGCTGGCAAAGACGGTTTATTGGCAGCAGGTCTTGGCTCTTTGCTGCTTTTGTTTTGCATTCTCAATGCAATTCCTCTCATTTCCTTCCAAGATACAAAGCATTATGATAAAAACATTTTTGTTTCCACTGATCTGTCCTATGCAAGCCCTCCCTTAAAGCAAGAAAGGATCCCTTATTGTGCAATATTAGCAACAGTGTAGAAAAGGTCTCTTCTTGATGCCAAAGCGTATTTCTTCATGAATACAAGAAATGTACATTCACTGCCACAGGAAATGCTGCCGTTGCATACCAGATGAGGTGTAAACCTAACCACTAAAGCACGGCAAATGGGCAGAGGTGGCAGCAAGAAGCAAAGGGACGTGGCAGGGAGAATAACCAAAGGTGTGGCCATTTCTCTAACTGGGGAGGAAAGTGAGCAGTAGGAAAAGGTCAATGTCCTAACAACATGGAAAGTAGTAAGGTTGTCTTCTGGGCATCACTGCTTGATTCACTGATCGTTTGCAAATCTGTGCCAAGCAGTACTTTGAAAAGGAAGTCAGGGAGGGAGGATCGAGTGCCAAGCAGCAAGACTGCGCTCAGCCCAAACTGTTCAATACGCAAAAGTGTGTCCTTGCCTTAAGCATCTGTAATGCCTCCAGTTGGCTGAAGTTCCTCTGAAGCCGGGATCCTACCAGTCATATGAGACCAAGAATGAGTATCACATGTTCTGTTTTCTCACTCTTGATCTCTGGAGACTCAGGATTTCTGTGGCTTTATGCTTGCCAGGGCAGGACCCACAGTGTCCTCTCATGGCTGTAGTAACGCTTGGACTGTTACTGGAAGCTCGTGTTTAAGTAAGTGATCTGTCAGGGGATGTGCTGAATACTCCCAGGGAGTGAGAGGAACACACCACAGTTCACAATTTATCCTGGGATCACCTCTAAGACAGAGTGTTTACATCTGACAAAGCAGTTCCCCAACGTTAACAGTGGTGCATATCAGATCTTTGGGGTCTCGTTATGCTACTGGTAACTGTCAACGTTTAACTCAGCTCTCCATGTCAACCGTTTCTTAGCTCTTCCTTCTTCAAGAGGCAACATAACTACATCTGGACAGAAAAATACACAAAAGCTGCTGCATGAAGAAAATATAGCATGACAAAGCCAGGAAACAAGATGCTTATTCCAGCAGTTTATGAATTCAATTCAAATAGTTATTAAAATGTGCCATTTTCATACTTTTAGTGGCACAAGAAGCAGAACTACTCCAGTATTTCTGTGTCAGGAGTGTTGTACAGTCAAGATTTTGTGTGCTTCTTCAGTAACAGTTACCTCTTCTTCCTTTCCACGGTAATTCCTTTCCTAATTTCCTCTCTTCTCCTTCAGTAGCTGTTCTTCCACAACTCCTAACGAAAACTCCAGTCTCTCTGAAGTGCTTTTCTTTCTCCAAGAAACAGCCAAGCCCCCCTCACGACCCCGGTTTCCAGTTTACCTGCCTTTCCCTGCTATAGTGCAATAACCCAGGAGAAGTTGCACAATATTTCAGTGTCCACTTTGGATGCTGTTCCTTTTGTTTAAAAACAATGCTAGTAAGAGGCTTCAAAGGCATCATAGTGAAAGATGAATCCTTACTACTGTCTAAGAACACTAGCAACGCTGTATGATTTACCCCAGGACGCATGATGGAGAAGCCACCTTTGACTAACAGCAAACGGCTGCAGGTCGTGACCTCTGCCAGGATAACAACCCATGGTACCAACTCGGTAGGTGGTTTCCTGCAGCAGAAAGAGGATTTCATAACACCATGGGCAAAGACATCTCAGCCCTTAGTAATGCATTAGCGTGCATTCACAGATTTCACTCAGTATTCAACGACCCTGGAATCAAGCCTACTTTGATACAAGGCTACACCATATCCTACCAAAAAATGTTGGAACAGCATCTATCTTAACAAGTTCTCAGTTATTATCTTTGGTTTTGTGGGGTTTATTTGAAAGAAGCATTATTAAAGGGCCAATGAAAAAAAAAAAACACACCAGTAGAAAAACACTTCAGGAAGAATCCAGTTTACAAGGGTGGTCACTGAGAGCATTACAAAAGGCTCTACTGTGCTGCTGCAGAAAGGAGCCAACGAAGTGCCACTGCCAGAGCTCACAAAGCAGCAGTTTAACTCTTCCCTTGGAAAAAGAAGCTAATCTGGAGTGCCAGACACATCGTTCTTGAATTATTTGCATTAAAACATTTAGCCTTGTCTTGTTGACGCTGTGGAATTGCTTTCACTGTGCCACACTCACTGTGGCACTGAACATTTGTAACTCCACTAGCCCAGAAAGGGCAATTATTAAATTTGGTGACTTTCAAACACCAGATAGACCTAGAGAAGAGATCACAAAAACAATCCAAATCTGTCAGAAAGGGCTGGAGATTTTGATCTCTCCGGTATGCAATCTACTTCTCACCAAGTTACCTTCATTATTGTAAATTTGGCTGAACAAAGCTGGCGTACTCTGGAGTGCAATGCATTAACTTAAACTGCCTGTGAAGACAGGTACAAAATCCTATTAGCCAGATTAATCTGGCAAACATGACAGTCTGTGCAAGCAGGTAGCAGAGACACGGGCCCATGTTTAAGGAGCAGGTGCCAGCCACAGAGAGGTGGCCTGGACAGGAAGAAGAGGGAAGTGGTAAATTCTCATCACAAATTCATCAGAGCATGCATAACAGCATCTCAATCTCAAGAGAACGCAGGTGACTGCGGTGAGACAGGAGTCCTCCTTACAAGATAAAGATACAACCACCCTCTTAATCACAGATGACAAAGTGGCAGAGGACTTTCACAAAAGAACAGAACTCTGTTTAAAGCAAAGACATTGGTCAGTAACACCAGCTACCGAAACCAGCCTAGACCAGAGTTGTCAGGAAGGATGAAGACAATGAGGTGGGAGCAAACCATGAGCGTCACTCTTTAAAAATGCTCGGTTCCTACTTCTGCACACTGATGTCCTGGCAGAACTCGGGTTGCTACCTCATAGAATCATAGAATGGTTAGGGTTGGAAGCGACCTTAAAGATTATCTAGCTCCAACCCCCCTGCCATGGGCAGGGACACCTTCCACTAGACCAGGTTGCTCAAAGCCTCATCCAGCCTGGCCTTGAACAATTCCAGGGATGGGACATCCACAGCTTCTCTGGGCAACCTATGCCAGTGCCTCACCACCCTCTCTGTGAAGAATTTCTTCCTGATATCTAATCTAAACCTCCCTGATTTCAATTTGTATCCATTACCCCTTGTCCTATCACTACAGGCCCTCCTACAAAAAGGTGTCTCAGTGAAGTAAAGCTATCAACAGGCGAGCTGGTCCAGGAACACAAAAGCCTCCCAACAGTCATTTGTCTCTTTCAGCATGCTAAAGAGGGCTGGAAGAGAGTATAAAGGACAGCATTCACCAGTAAAGAGCAAGAAAGCTTGCCAGTCTGCACCATTTAAACAATAGAGACCAAACATAAAATGAGAAGTAAGGCTATGACTTGAAACAGAGAGGTTTGCTTCTCAAGCTCTCTAAAATACCCAGTGATTTGGTCATAAAACGCTTCCATTTTCACGGCAAGTTAGTACTGTGCACTGTATAATCTCCACATGTAGGTAATGTCTGCTGTAGGATTGCACCAAGAGCCGTGTCACAGGTCAGATTGCACTGCCTGCGTCCTAAAAGCAAAGGAAAAAGAAATGCAAGAAAGACAAAAAGTCATTTATGTCCCTCAGTTTTCCTTCTCTCAGTCTTAGCGTATTGACAGAAATTAATTTCTATAGGAAGGGAATTGCACTGTTTGCAAAGCAATCCTCTAGGATTTATTGATCTTTAAGAAAAATCTCATTAAGCAGAATAAGGAAAATTTACAACAGGTATGGGAAAACAAAACAATCTCTTGGGATCTTCACCAGGCCGAAACAGGATTAGCTTGGTAGTTTCTGTAATCTTCCTCACAGAAGAATGCTAATTCCGTCTCATTTGCTAGAACGAATAAAAAATTAAATATTTAGCGCACCGGTAAACGAACCACCCAACAGCCAGCTATTTAGCATCTTAGAGAACAATTGGCAACTTTTTTAGTCAAAGACAACTATAAATCACCACATGCTTTCCTCCTCCCCTCATATTTTTGCAAAAAGGATTCCAGTATTAAACTTGTCATTTAACCTTGTAAAAAAACCCAAACAAAGGGAGTATATAGAAGTAAATATGTACGCAGGACCCCTCCAGACTTGTTTAACTCAGCCTTCAGAATTGTTTGTATAAGCACCCAGCAAATTAAGTGACTGCATTTCTAACGCCTTCAAATGCTAGGAAAATAATGAAGCATGATTTTCTCTGTTTTGTGCATTTTTCTGTTAGGAAAGGGGAAAAGAAACTATTTTTTTCCATTAAATTAGCCTGTAGGTATAATAATTTAATACTTAGAGGATCAGTAGAATATTTTACAGATCACTTTACATTCTCCCTCATGACCCATCAAAATATGTGTCTGAGGAAGTTAATTTTTTGCCCTGCTGATGATTAATTCATGAGGCTTCAACAATATGCAAAGTGAAAGACACAAATTGGCTTCTCCAGCAATACCTTCAAATACCTCTAATTATTCACAGGGGATATGGCAGAGCTAAAGGACCCACAAAGGTTCAGAGCAGTCACAATTCTTTCAACCCAGTAGGTCAAGGACTTCCTCTTCTAAAACAATAAGTCAGCAACATTACTAATTCAGAACAGAGACAAATCTGATGGAAAGCCTTCACAATTATTAAACATGGAATTCTTTAAGGTGCTGAGCCAATAAGTTCCACATTCGTTTTTTAAATTAAACCTGAAGTTAATGAAGTCTGCCTGTCTTGTAAAAAAGGGGGGGGAAAAAAAGAGAGCAGAAGGGGTTTTAGAATCTCAACTAGCAAACAGACAAGACCATTTGCAATGAATACTGAACACTTTATTAACATACACCCTGCTCTTAAAAAAACAAGCAAGCGTTAACTTTGCTGACTAGATAATAGCTGTAATAATAATCACTACCACCGAGGCTTTCCTGAGGATACTTATCTAATGTCCTCATAATTTATAACTCTCTAGCCCAACCCTGTTAAGTGCCAAGGGCAATCGACTGCAGCTTAGAAAAAATGTTCTGCGTGTCTCAGAATTTCCCAGATTTTCTAATGGAAATTCTCCGTTCTGGTCTAGTAAATCTCATCCAGACTAGATATTGGAAAAGCGTAATAGGTCAAGAGAAGATTTCAAATCTTCTTACCGATTTAAATTAAACCGTACAAAACGAGCACTAGTGGCACATGCTATCACACTTCTTTGCTTACTCTTTTCCACTTCTTGTCGAAGAAGATTGTACTACAAAGACCACACTCCTAACTTAACTAATTTTCCTATCAAGATATGCTGGAACATATCAATGTTCAGAATGGCATAATGGCATGCTGCGTGCGTTTTACAAAGCAAGAGGTTTTCTTTTCTACACAAATACCCACTACGTCCTAATGACTAACTGCTGTTACTTATTCATGGGGGGGGAAAAAAAAAAAAAGCAGCTTTAAATCCTTTTCTGCCCTGAATAAGCCACCCCTCTCTTTGTACAGAGACACAGAATAGGCTGCTCTATTCCAATTTCCTTTCACTACAACATGTACTCTGATGTTTTGACGCCTTTTTCAATTTCACATCCAACTGTTCCACTGCTGTAGCTACAAACCAAGCTTCAAAGATGGATAATATATACAAATATTTATCAATATCTTTCTGAAAGAAGGCAGCTCTGGACAATGTCATTTCTAATTCAACACTTGACACCGTCATCCGTCCCTGTCCTGAACTGCATGGCCTCTTATGCCTTAGGTGGATGAAAATCATGCTTAAATGAATCTTCTGCTAACTAAATTGCCAATCCGTAAGATTCGAGTTCCAGTAATCCTCCTTTCTGAGAAACCTCTTTTTTTCCCCTCCAGATAAAAAGACCTGATCTATTACAAACAGCCAGAGAATAACTATCATTCATATTATAAGAACACCCAAAGACGTTTAGGAAAGGTATACTGAAGCCAGTTGCAGTGCAGCCCTGAGAAAAACATTAAAGAGACATCCCAAGTCACTGAAAACCAGAAAGTAAATGGCAGGAAACAAAAGAGCCAAGAAACCTATGAGAAAGAAATCCCACTGACTAGCTGGGGAGCAATCAGAGGGCACCGGGAACAGGAGGGAGCTTTCTCTGCGACACCCCTGCACTTAGAGCGAAGGCAGTTATGCGTTCCAGCTAGGCAAATCAGATTCAAATGAGCAAATGTCCATATCAAGGTGGAATGCAGCTACATCCCTTAAGTACCCTGCTGCCACAAAGTCATTCAGCCACAGTTACGAGAAGCCCAAAGGACATCCAGGGACCATCAATTTTATCATGACAGACATTTCTTTACATTATTACCAAAAGACATGCCCTATATGCAGTCCCCTGTCAAAATGTGAGAAATCAGGTCAAGTTTCAACTCTTTGCTATGTTCAGCACATTCTCTAAACGATACTGCTTGAGCTTTCCTGAGCAATCTGGCTATCAAGCACTGTATGCTGCACATTAAACAAATCTAATCTTATTTCATTATTCAGTGCTGGTTCCACTACTTACATTTCTAACCAAAACATCAGTTTAAATGTTACTGATAAGACTAAGCAGACACGGTACTAATAACCTATCTGTCAATCATTTAAAATTACTCTCAGCAGAATTATAAGCATACCCTCTAAAAATCACAATTTGCATTCTGAACATTTGGAGTGCAGATACCTGCTGCCCTCAGTCCAATGATTTGAATGTACATTATCCCCCTCCAGCCCCCCTTACTTCCCTGAATAATTATCAAGTAGTGTAAAGAGCATCAGGAATAGCATTTACTTTTCAGCAGGCTATCCAAACATAATCAGCCAGTTATCAGTTTAATGACAACCACAATGAACAGCACCTTCAGTCAATACAAATGTACTCCTACCTACTCCAGCTGCTTTCAGCGTACTGTCTTCTTTCAAAATCAGTTTGTCATCATCTTCCAAACTCACGACAAGTTCACCGGTCTACAAATCAGAGAACCAGAATACAAAGATAAGAATTTACTGACAGTCTCTGTCCCAGTCTTGTTTGACAGTGCAGAGATCTGCCCGCAATAAAGCATGTGAAAGGGGAAGAATACAGCTAATATCATACCTTAGATTTGTGTGCTTGGTGAATAATCTTCATTGTATCTGAAAGAAAACATATAATGTTTTCCTAAAATAAGGCTTAATAGGCAGGTAACTGAAAGCTGTACTTGGGCAAGGAGAGACAAACAAAGGGGTAAGGTTCAAACTCGTTTATTAAGAACAATTTTGTGCATTCAGTCTAAAAAAGGCAAAGCCATCTTAATTTCCCGGTCCTGCAACTACAGTCAATCCAACATTAAGGTACCACATCCTACTGGGCTTCTGTCTGCTGGCTGAATTACAATAACTAGCTAATGACCGTCCCAATTGCCAGTCAAAACACATCAATTTAAATGCCAGTTAGGGTGTTTTAACCTAACAGGTTTTACACATGCAATTGGGGCAGGACAAACACTGTTTATCCACTGTGAACTACTAGAGTTAAACTGATAGACAGCAAGACACAGTAGCCTGACCACTCCACATCATTCCTTGAAATTTTCCTTCTCATGAAGAAAGCACCCATGTAGAAATTTTGTTAAGGAAGACCATTCTCCATGAACACATACAGCCTCTCCTCTTTTTAGTGCTATATCCTCTTCAGTGGTATTTATCACTGGTATGTTTGCACAGTGTGGCACTTCAAGAAATTACACTATACAAAAAAAAGAAATACCACTTTCCTCTGGCAATGTGGGCAGGGCTTTGTTAACAGAAGGGAAAAACTGGGGAAAATAATGCGGTCACTAAAGCAACCAGATGAGTGCAAAGATCCAGAGGGATTGGAATCAGAAGATGCCCATGCAGCACTAAAAAAAAAAAAAACCCACCAAACCAAACAAACAAAAAACCACAAAAAAGCCCAAACAACAACAACAATAAAACCCCTCCAAAGCCTCTGTGTTCAAACAAATTCAGAATAACCCACCAGTCCCTTCCCAGCAAAGAAGCAAAACCCATTTTGCCTGCTCATTTTCTGTTCCAGTTTGGTTTTGTGCATTAACGGAACACGACGTGTTGAAAATCTGGTAGGAGGATGCAAGAAAGTTAAATACAGGCTAAAGCAACTTTCAAACTACCGAGAGCACGTATTCAGATGTTCAGAACAAGAGAGATCACATTCCCATTCAGAAGTTTGCTACCATACCACTCCGGCCCATTTGGAACGTTTTATTTAAAACATTACAGAAGGCCAAACTGCTCCATATCCCCACTGCAGAGGGCACTGAGAGGGCAGTCTTAGCATGCTGTACTAATTGCAGTATTAGAAGCAAGACACATATTAAATTGCAGTCCCTGGCTCCATCTTGCATAAAAGCATTGCAAAAAGACCGAGCAATCACAGCAAAAATACAGTGCAATCGTGAATCCATTCTACCACAGCAAATACAATCCAGTCTCTGCCTGTTAGTCTTAAGTTTCTCTATCTGCTTTGTCACATCCCCTTTTCTCTAGTCTGCGCCCAGTCATTCTCTGGTCTGTTGTCTCAATTCAACTCCTTCACAACTCCACCGCTGGCATCCAGCAGTTTCCTGTGTCTTTATCTGGGTTCTAAATGGCTGCCCTAACTCTGCTACAGAGATGAATCTACAGTCTCTTTGCATCCTAGCAAAAAAAGCCTTATGTCCTCTCAGTTGCCTTTGCTATTTCACCCCAATTTAGTCCCACTCAATCATATTCCCAGTTTACCTTTCCTTTTCTGCTAACAGATCTTCTGTGACACAGGTAAGAAATCACTTTCTAAGTCTGAAGCTGTGAAGTACCTACCGTATTGCTCCACATTCACAGGGAAAAAAATAAACTGAGAAGCAGTTTCTAAGCCAAGTTGGCACCTTGGCTGCCATCACTGCTGAAAAGATGGCAACGACAGGGTAGAAAGATGGGAAGATTGACTGAGAAGAGTTCTAGACCAAGGACAAGAATGATGTGTACAAAGAAATGAAGAGAAAATGAAAGTCGTAAGCTTTGAGGTGTTAGAGCACCCAGCCAAGAGGAAAAATGTGATGGCATTATACATGATGTTGAGAGAACCAAGTGGTGCTGGATTCTGGTGAGAAGGAAGCCAAAACAGGCACAAGGTGAGAGACAGCCTGGTCCCACTGAGATTTCTGGCACTGCCAAACAAGGCTGAAGTTAAAATTTAGAATCATAGAATCTGACTCTTAGCAGCACTATTCATGCAGCAGTCTCACTGCTCTTTCATCACCAAATACAAGACAGACAGTAGAGCACACAAGAGATGCCAAAAACATGAAACTGGATGATTCACAGCCTGAGGGGAAGGTGGGGAACCTGACTTTGAATTTTCTGTGTGAAAATTTCCACTCAGCCACCACCATCCCCCTTAACTGGTGTAACAGGTTTTAAAGTCCTTCAGTGTTTTGCACCCACATTATGCTCAGTCCTACACAGCACAATCAGGTGCTCAGCCACAACATATGCCTTAGGAAAAACAACACTGATGCTCTAAGTGATGAAAGAAGGAGCAGCAGGGATAGGCAGCCCCGGGAAAACAACTGATAGCAGCAGTCTTCCACAGGAACCCCTCACCTAGCCAAAGCCACAGACATCGGGGGAGGAAGGGCACCGCCGAATTCAAACTTGGTAACTTAGATTTTAAGACCTTATATAAGGTCTTAAAAGTTACCTATATAAGCAATATATTAATAATAATAGTAAGTTCAAGTCCTTGCCACTGACTATCCTAAACCTTAATTCATCACTCATTTTGCACTATCTGTGTCACCATCAGCAAAACCACAGAATTAAATGCTTGGCTGTTTTCTTTTTTCACATAGGCAGATAGAGTCTATTACCATTCACATGTGTTAAGTAGGTTCCTCATTCAATTATTTGAATCACTGCAGAGGAAGGAGTTTGTAACTCCAAGAACATGGGAGACAGAAGATCACTTACAGCAAAACTCCAAAGGAACAAAATTGCCAAGTTTAAGAAAAGATATGTTACTGACATATGAGTTGACAAACTCCAAGAAAGGAAGTAATTTAGTCTATTTTCAGAGCATATTCTGTCCCAAACAGATGAATTGCACATGTTCATGTCAATCTTCACAAAAAGGAAATACACACGTAGCTTTATATTAGAGAATAAAGTCAGCCTACATTTCACACCAGGCCATTTCATTCTGTCAGCTTGTATTTAAGAGCTTTCATATCTACTTTGAGCAAAGTTCCCTGCTTCTCTTGTATCGTGTAAATTATTAAGTATATTTAAGCACTTTCCATTGTGGAGCCTTCAGCTCCCACTTCACCATCGTTTCTGACTTCACAATCACCAGATACTGAAGTACCACAGAGAACTACAATTTCAAAGCATTTGCGATCACAATCTGCTCACTAGAGTAAAAACAGAGTTAAAAGGCACTTATAAAAGTAATAAAAAATTAATATCAAAAGTCATCAGTACCAATTAGCAAATAATGTATGCAGCCTAATTCAAAGATTAATACAGAACTTTAAAATAATGGTCAAGTTCTGTAGACGTGATTCCAATGGCACAACCCCAGCTACAAAAGCTGAATAGAGTTGCAAAAGTAGGCAGGCACTGTCACCGGCATGAGTATTCTACAGCAGTTGTCTTCTAACTCGTATAGAAACTGGTATAAAATATTATGTCTGCATTTTACAGGAATTAAAATTCACGTACCATACTTGTAATTTTTGAAAGGAGGCGGAAGTCCTGTTCTTGAAGGCACATCTATTAAAATAAAAGCACCAAGTTAAAACAGAAGTTCTCAGGGTTTGGGGTTTTTTTTCCAGTATTTTATTTTCCATTACTTAATGTAGGCATCTTGGACATCCTTTACATCAAAACAAACGCACAACACAGGAGACTTGTTTGAGCATCGAACACTAAAACACAACCGTTGGCTCAGATTCGTAGTTACTCCATGTCTGACTAGCTTCACTTGGGCACCAGGTCCCTCTGAACAAAACGACCCTTGAGGACAGTGAGTCAACGCAACTGGGATATGATCACGGGAGTCTGACCCTTCAGAAATCTGCCAGGAACATCCTGCTAACAGTTTGCACAGCATCCCTCTCTACCTTTTACAAACAGCTGACAACTGCCTTTCATAACTGAATTGTTCAGCAAACACAGCCACGCCAACTAGCCAAAAGAAGGAAGCCCAACTATAGAAAATTAACCCTTTAGCCGCATGCAGGACACAGCCTGTAAGCAACTGCAAGAACTCTAACACCTTCCCTGGTGCCAGTGTTCCCAGTGACACCCAGGGATTTAACCAGGGCCTTGGAAGGCCCAGCCACCTGTCGGGCACTCAGCAGCAAGGCTGCTGAAACCATAACTTCACCAGTAATTTACCAATCTCAAACTCCTCCTTCAAAACAGATTACAGCAAAGGAAGGACCACAGCTCCTTTTGGACTAGGAACAGAACTGTCCATCCATCTGTGGAATGAGGTTCCAAAAGTCTTGTTCAAGACACTAGCCTTGTCTTAAATGACAGTGAGTTGCAATGCTGCACACATCAAAAGCAAGTTTCTTAGCACTGTTTTTTATTTTATTCTTCATAACAGCAGCTGTACCATATGTTCCGAAATTGCTTGAAGTTTTCTAAAAGCATCCTAAGATCTTGCCATGCCAATCACTGTCTAGAAGCATGGAAGTTGCTGAAAACACAATACAGCTGCGAGGCCAAGGGCAACATCCCAGGAGCTGCTCAAATGTTATCAGCTATAACAGATCGAGACTTGTTTAAGCTGACTTTATGCAAAAAAAAAAAAATCAAATGATGTTATTCTGCACCCTTTGAACGTCTCCATTTAGGTGTGTAGAAATACACCTGCAAGATGAGAGTAACACCCTAACTACTGAGTCACTGTGTGGGCTGCTCTGCCTTAATTAACTTTTAGATACACTGTCACTTTCAGCCAGGCCTCTAAAACATAAAACCCATAGATGAGTAAATCTGCACCACAAAGCTCAAGATGGAGACAGAAACTCTGAAGCAAACATGCACAGTGAGACCTCACAGTGTCAAAACCAATTTTTCAAGATCCTCTTTTCCCACAAATAGCAAACAGACGTGCGTTCCCACATTCCACATATTGGTGTCGTTCCTAAGGATCAAAGGCTCTCTAAATTCTATTAATTTACTCCTGTTAATTTATGAATAGCTGCCTGACAGCACCACTCAAGGAGTCTGAGGCCCTGAGCCAAATGAAGTAATACCCTCACCTCTTTTTGACTAAACATGAGGATTTGGGCAGGGGAAGCATCTTCCCAAATTTAGGCAGGTCACACTGACCATGGAAGCTCTTATTAACTCCAGACCTCTCATCCAAGGGAGGAGAGCACACAGGAGATGTAAATACAAATCTGGCACCTCTACCAAAGCCACAGAATTCCCATTTGTTTGCTCCCCTCTACTTTGGCGTGCAGAGATGGCAACACATGGGACCGAAGCGAACGAATATGACAACCACCCCTTACCCTTCCGCACAAAAGTAATGAACTGCTTTACTGTCTGATCCAAGTTAACTCCATGGTACACCACAGGCCTGAAGTTCCGATGTTCAAACGAGCGAACAAGACGGACGGTGATGGTTGAGTTTTCTGCTGACATGAGAATTATTTCTCAATAACCTGGAAAACATTAAAGACAGGAGTTACTGCCTTTTCTCTGTGTAGGAGCACAGCTAGAAAACAAGGTGCAGGTGGGCCTCGTGCAAAAATCAAAACACAGCGAGAAATTCAATACCATTATGTCTTTCAGGACCTAACTTCTATTATTTCTACAGAAGCAGTAACAGGGTCTCAAAACAAACAGGGTTACCCAGGATATTGCTGGTACTGCACACCAAATAGTCCACCTGTACTCCCTACTAAACACACCAAAATGTTAGGGATAAATGCCAGTATGTCGGTTGGGTTTTAAGGAACTGAAGACTTTACCTACAGGGTGAGTACCCTTGTGCTCTGAAAGAATGTACCGACACGAACAAAACCAAAACCTTTTTAATATACTTATGTTGTAGAGAGCATAATACCCTGAAAAATGCCTAAGCTGTTACACAATGCTCATTTTCACCTCCCTACAGACGGTGGAAAAACCTCCCCCACAGACACATAAGTAATTCTCCTGGTATTATTCTACACCCTCCCGCCCTCCCCTAACATAACTAAGGGGGTTAATTTCCTTTATATGACTAAGCCTTTAGAATGGCTCTATATGGTTTATACATTTAACAGAAAGTAGAACCTATAACAGAATCACCTTATCAACCCAAGTCCCTCTTCAAATAAGGCCACACGTCGTTCCGTTGGGCTCTTTTCTCACCACAGGAAAACCAGCTATTTCTTGCTCTGACAATCTTCTCCATTTTTGGTGCTGGGTATTTCTCAACAACCTTGCTTTCTGGTCGATCACTAAACTGCCGCGGCTGCTGCAGCAATGAGCAAATACTGTAACCTGAGTGCTGCAACATCAGCCAGAGGCAGAGCACGACCCCTGCATCTCCTACCCCTTAGCAGCCATTTCAGTCCCTACTTCAGTCCCACAAGGGATTTTCTCACCTATGCATCCCTTTATGGAAGTGGGGTTTTTGTTGCCAAGGGAAATGATTTAAGTGCCCCACTATCATGCAGGTACCTCCCAGTGTTTGCTGTGTTTGTCCTAGCTGCATCCTGGCAAAGTAAACCAGCAATTATTCTCTTCAAATACTTCCTGCAGAATGGGGACACAGATTTTCCACATCACAGGGCAACTTGCTTTTACATCCCTTTAGTTAATATTTCACCGAGTTCCAATTCCATTTTCATTGTAAATAAGCTGTGATACATCAATAAATGATGGTATTCCACATGGGCTCGAGATCCGGAGGGCACAGTACAGAGTCAAGGGGACGGCATGCAATTCACTTTCTTCTGGAAGAACGTTGTAGGAATACAGCCTTGGGAGCACAGACAGTTAGAAATCGCCGATTTTCACGTTTCCTAGACAGACCCAACAGACTGATCCCATCTGGGACTGGGACCAGGTATCACCCGGTGTCCCCTCAGGGCGCCGCCCCGATGGGAAGCGCTGACGGTCAGTATCTCTGTGTGAGGAGGAACCGTGCCCCGGCCTGCCCGACCGCGGCACCGGGACCCGCGGCGGAGCACTGCCGGCCCCAGCACACCACCCCGAGACCAAGCGCTCAGCCCTCACGCCACCCCTGCCCCGCCCGTAAGGGACAGTGAACGGCCCTCGGCATTACTACCTCCTCCGCAGCCAGCACTTCCGGGTGGCTC